TTGAGCACTATGCCCATTTGCATGTCGTGCTCCTGAAGGGCATCCATCACCTGAGATGGTGTCATGTCGCGAGAACTGCTGGAGCGGCCCAAGTCGCGGCGCTTCCTGACCGGCTGCTCACGCTCCTCCGCATGGCCGCGGGGCGAATCAGACCTGGCCTTCGCCTTCACCTTCGCCTTGGCCTTCGCCCCGCCCTTGGCCTTCGCCTTGGGCTTGGTCGGCTTGGCCTCAACAAGGGGCTCAGCAAGCGTCTCCACCTCAGCCTCACCTGAGGGCACCGTCTTTGGAAGGGCACGCTTGCTTCCACGCCCGCTCGGATTGGAAGCCTCAGGGCCTTCAGGTTCAGGGGCATCAGCTGCCTTTGGTTTCGATTTGGCTGCGCACACTTTCTTCTTGGGGGGGCCCGTCCTTGATTTGGCTTTCGGCTCCGGGTTCAACTTCAGCTGTTCCCGGCGGGTCAAGGGCTCAACAGTATCAAGAGCAAGCGAAGTCTGGGACACAGAGCCCCCAGGGGAGATCGGGAACACGAGCATGGACTTTGCGGCCTTTGCCTCAGGACTGCCGCCTGGAGCTGACGCGCGAGCGTTGCTGGAGCACGAAGAAGGGGTGGTCTTGCCTGAGTGCTCCCACAAACTCCTTCTCCCGGTCCTCTTCCTTCGCCCTGGCGTTCGCAGCAAGCTTGTTTTTCAAGCTCACCAGTTGCTTGCGCAAAGGAGCAGCAACAGGTCTGAGCCCTGCATCGTGCTTTTCATCCTTGCTCGCAGTAACATCCAGACCTTCTGAAGAGCGTGGCGCAACGAGCGGGCAAGACTTTGAGGAACCACTCCCCATCGTTGCCAAATCTGGAAACAGCACCCTGTTTACAGGAAGGGACTCCTTCAGAGGCTTGGGTGAATCCAACTCCTCTGTCGGGACGAAGGTGTCATCTGTATCCAAGGCGTAGCCGAGCGAGGCTCCTCACTCTCAAACCCTGAAGTCAGACCCTGGACCATGACTCTGAAGTGAGACATGTAGGAACAATTCTCACATTGCCTTTGCCTGAGCCACGTCCACTGGACCCAGAAGCTTGGTCGGAGGTCGCGACTGCGGCTGACTGTGCTCTCCTGGGCTGGGCTTGCAACCCTTGTAACCAGAAGTGTTGCTTAGTGAGGGCCACTGTGTGGGGCGTGCCAGGCACTAACAACCCCCCCAAAAAAAACTTTACGAGCACGAACCAGAATCGACAACGCTTCTCGAGCCTGGGCCATCATCAGCTTCAGCTCTTCGAGGCGATTGAGCTTCCTTAGCGTCTTGTTCATGCGCACGCCATTTTCGTGAGCAATGCATGCTTCATCGTCTTCGATCTCAACGACCTCGCTGGGATCTTTCCGTGAGGCAGCGTGCTCCGCGTCGCGTGGGGGACTGCCTGGGGGACTGAACACCTCGGAGAACTCATCGTCACCAAAACGTCTAGGGCGGCCAAGAGAAATGTGGGAACCATTGCTGGCATCGTCAGCAGCCTCGTCACAAGCAGACGCCTCTCTATCAGAGGCCATCTCATCATCAGAAGCCCCGTCCACGGAAGCCCTCTCATCATCAGGGGCCCCATCAGCGGCCCCGTCATCATGAGCTGCCACAGCAAGACCCCTAGCAGCGCCATCACCAGAACCGGAATCATCATGAGGGGCCGCGTCTGCTGGCCCATCCCGATCATGGCTGGAATCGTCCTGTCATGGAATCGAAAAGAAGCAAAATTCAGAATGACAGATGACAACTTCGGTGTATTATGGCTGTTCTATTCTAGACTTCTTGTAATCAGCACAGTAGTCTAAACACTTCGGTTTATAGGGTTTATAGGGGTATAGGGTTAACACCCCAAGCCCAAAATGGCAACAAATACCCTTCCTAGTTCAGCTCGACCCTAAGTGAGACAACCTAAGACATGTCAACTTGAAGGCTGCCTCGGCGTCCGTGGACCGGCCACGCTGGATGGGAGGAGGCATGTCGGGATCCAGGATTCGCTGGAGCGCAAAGAAGTTGGGGTCCTTGCATTGGGACGCGTCGCTTCAATTATCTGGGAACTAGGAGTGGAAAGGCACTAAAAAACACAGGGCTTACCATGTAAGTCGGGCTTCCGTGGAGGCTTGGCCTTTACGCACCTTCATCTTCACGAACGATGCAAAGCTTTTAAGCCACAGGGTGCCGAGATGGATATTGTCCTTGACTATGGGGATCTTCAGCATGCGATGCAGGTTGCGGAGCCTTTCGCTTCAGAGGCTTGCAAAGTAACTCGGCACTCGACTAGTTTGAAAATGAAGATATACGTATTTTAAAACATTGTAGACATGATCTGGATCGATGGTTTGCTAGCAAGTGGCTGCTTGTCGGCTTCCTTCAAAGGAAACAGCTCCCAGTTAGCATCCTCAGCAATGAGTTCCATGACCGGTCGCATTGCACGGTGGTTGTGGCCCACATCCCTGTTGCATGTCTTCATCTCCTCAGGGCCTTTAGCTTCGAGAATCTTCCCCGTGCGGTGGAGCCTAGTCACCAGCTCGACCTCCAAAGCCCATTTCTCAGCCAACCCTTCCAAGCTCAAGCTACAAGGCGGCATCACACCGCTGGCTAAATAACGCAAGCGAGCTAAGAAACTTGAGCCCTCAGCCCTGCAAAAGTGTGCGAACAAAAGAATCCATCAATCTGTTCGCAGGGACCACCTCTGCAGATGCATCTGAGCACGCGGCAAATGGCAGAGCCGAAAAAGTAAACCATGCAGGGGCTCGCGTGCACTTAATTTCAGGGCCGCTCGGACGAAGTTTTGTCGTATGATGTCGTGTCCAGGGGTATATAAAGCAAGGAACTGCATGCTTCCAGCTGATCAAGTCTTTGATCAGTACTGCAGAACTTTGCGATCTTCATTACGCTACGCATATAGGGTTTTGATTCGTTTGGGTTATCTATGAATTGGCTTAGGATAGGGGCTGGGCCTGTATATCTATTGTCGCTGCGGCTTCGAGCGAGCACGGCAATCCATCCTTCGCAGGCAGCGCGGGAACTCGGGGCTTGCAATAGTGGTTGCCTGTAGCAGACATTGTTTGCGGGGTATGATGTCCGTTACCCACTCCCTATGGGGAAGAATGGCAATTACTGGGCAAAGTGTTTGCTTCCCTACCGTTTTGGGGGGAAGGCGAGTCACAGGTAAGCCCTAAACCCTAAACCCCAAACCCTAAACCCTAAACCCGAAACCCTAAACCCTAAACCCTAAACCCCAAACCCCAAACCCTAAACCCTCAACCCTAAACCCTAAACCCTAAACCCTAAACCCCAAACCCTAAACCCTAAACCCTAAACCCTAAACCCCAAGCCCTAAACCCTAAACCTCTCTATCATAATTCGTTTAAGCCCTGATTCAAAAGTGGGCAACGGAGACTTTCGGCCTCAACAGTGGGCAACGGTGACTTTCCTGACGGGCAACGGTGACTTTCCTGGCCTCAAAAAAAGTGGGCAACGGTGATTTTCCTGGCCTCAAAAGGGGCAACGGTGACTTTCCTGGCCTCAAAAGGGGCAACGGTTATTTTCCTGGCTTCAAAAGTGGGCAATGGTGACTTTCCTGGCCTCAAAAGTGGGCAACGGTGATTTTCCTGGCCTCAAAAGTGGGCAACGGTGAATTTCGGCCTCAAAAGTGGGCAATGGTGAATTTCCCTTTCCCCGAGTTTTTCCAAGGTTTTTTCAAGGTTTTTCAGAGTTTTTCAGTGTTTTTCAAGGTTTTTCAATGTTTTTCAGGATGTTTCAGGGCATTTAACCCGTCAATTCTGATGAAGGGCCGCCCCCGCGACCTTTTCACAGCCTAGTTTTGGTCAAGGGGGGGTCGCATTTTTCAATTTTAAAAGCAAAATTAGTCTTCGGAGACCCCCCATTGCCTCAAACTCCGACCCCCCCTTGGGAGGGAAAGTTTGCCTCCAAAAACACCCCAAATGAGGGGGACCCCAGGATCGGCCTGAGTCCCTAAAAATGCGACTTTTTTTAGTACTGATATCGACGGTTCTGGGTGGCCTCTCGTTTTCTGGATTTTTGACCAAAACCGAGCCTTCACCGATAGGGGCTTCTAAACCGTAGGGTTTAGGGCCCTAAGAGCATAAAGGGCCTATTGTGGGCCTTAGATTAGATTTCGGGTTTTGGGTCCGTTAAAAACTAACTATTGGGAATGTATTGAGTGAACTTTGTCTTTTCTCAATGTTATGGGTTTCTTGGGTGGGTGGGTTTTTATCCAACGCTTGACAAGCTGCTTGACTCGTGAATGCTCGGACTTGAGATGCTGAACCCTAAACCCTAAACCCTAAACCCTAAGCCCTAAACCCTAAACCCTAAACCCTAAACCCTAAACCCTAAACCCTAAACCCTAAACCCTAAACCCTAAACCCTAAACCCTAAACCCCGAGCATTTCTCAGAGGGCTTCTTAAAAGGGGGCCATGTGAGGTCAGCTCCTGGAACACTCGGCGCCCCGGGTTCTGGAGCTGAGGCAGCTCAGCAGTTCGACAGAAACTTAGCATCTGAGTGAGCACGCGTTATACACTTTTAGGGTTTAGGGTTTAGGGTTTAGGGTTTAGGGTTTAGGGTTTAGGGATACTATAATCCCCTATAGAACTAAAAGTGCACGCTGTTTTTTTGGTGGCTGATGAAACTCGGCAGCTAAGGAAACCTTCGACTTCATTACGGCCGCCCTGCGCCTCTCCGAAGATGCGCAGAGCTACCAGGACTTGGTGGCCCAGTGGTACCCTTCTTACTTTTTTTTTCTTTGCGGGGGGGGGGTCTGGGCTCTCTTTTTAAAGTAGCCAACCACAAAAAAGGGGCACCGTTACTAGAAGATGGCCAATAATTGGGCTACCAAACCCTAAACCCTAAGCCCTAAACCCTAAACCCTTATCATAAGATGGCTACTCACTGGGCCACCAAGCAGGAGGATTACCTCGAAAAGGCCTTGGCTGCGGACCCCTCGTGGCCGGGCCGCCGAGTAAACCTGGCTATGCGACAGCTGGAGGCGGGGGGTTTTACGATATTAAGGGTTTAGGGTTTAGGGTTTAGGGTCATTGGGGTCATCGGGGTTATTGGGGTTAATTGGCTTATTGGGGTTATTGGGGTTATTGGGGTTTTAGGGGTCCTTATTCTAAGGGGATCCTACTATTGGGGTCTATATTAGGGGTCCCTGCTGTTCGTAAACCCGCCAGGTGGTCCGCGAAGTCTTTACGGAGTCGATCTTGTATCTCAGTTGGCCCTCAGAAACTCTTGTGTGAGTTTTTAGGGGTGGTTATGGACTTGTTTCCTGGCTTGAACTCAGGGGCCATGGTCCAACAGCTGAGGTACGCTGCTGACCTGCGCACACGCCGGGACAACCTGGATGATGCGGTGCAGAAGTTCGCGGCTGCTCACAGCCTGCTCAAGGACGGTGGCAGTGGCCTTCCGCCCATCATGCTGCTTGCTAGCACCTCTAAACTCTGAACGCCCCTAAACGCCCTCAACGCCCTAAACCCCCTAAACGCCCTAAACGAGCTAAACCCTCCACCCGAATTACAGTGTGGTTCTTGGGCTACCCAGGTTGCCAGAGCGCCAAGATCTCCTGACTCAGTGGGAGCGAGTGGACACTGCTTGGGGGCATTTCAGGATGTACCAGCAGCTTAGTTGGCCCACTGCAGACTGTTATTGGGTTTTGGAGTACTATACTTGAATACTTTTTTTGGTTCTGGGTTCGGATTGTAGCTACTTGTACCTAAAAAATATACTTTGTTTTCCAGGGTCTACTCCGAAGTAGGGTTTCGCATTTTGGGGGGCAGACTTGTTGTGGGTATAGCTGTACACGATAGACGTGGGCGCCAGCGAGATGAAACTTGAAACTCCGATCTCCTCGGTACTGCAGTTGAAATCCTTAACCCGGAAGTTGGGTTTAGGGTTTAGGGTTTAGGGTTTAGGGTTTAGGGCTTAGGGCTTAGGGCTTAGGGCTTAGGGTTTGGGGTTTGGGGTTTAGGGTTTAGCCCTCCCCAGGCAAGACATGACTGTGGATGACATCTCCCGCACAGAAGGCGCGATGGAGTTGTTGGTCGAGGAGCTGAAAACCATGGTGCCTCTTCTCCATATCGTGGATGTGAAGTCGGCACAACAGTTTCCTTGGTCTACGGTCATCTACTCCAGCCTGGCTGCTATCTTGGCATGCTGCTGCTGCTTCATGGCTTGCAGGATTATACTCGGTCGGCAACAAAAAGCCGCGGCCGCTGTAGAAAAGGCTGCCATGAGTGCACGCGCCAGTGCAGCTGTTGCAGACGAAGTCTGAATTCGAAGTCCTGTTTCACGTCTTACATCATTGTATGCCCCGTTTTTTAAGCTGCTGCGCTGGAAACTTATTTCAGGAGGCGTAAGCGCGGCACTCAACGGGGTTTTTCCATGTTCACACGGGCGGTGCATATTTGCGGCAGCGTTGGAGAGCCTGAGCAGCGTGGACTTGGTGGCATAGTATGTACTGCACGTTTGTAAGGTTAGGGCGTAGGGCCAAGCATGTGTGCACTAACATCGATGTGGCTTGAGGCCAGTATGCCATGTGAGACCATGTCCCAGCCCCCGGCTCTCTGCTCCTTAGAGCTGTCTGAAGGCCGACAAGCGGACCAATACATCAGTTGGACGGCTTGAGGTTCGGACACTGAGCTCATCCGATGTTGGGTCCAGATCACTGAGGCCCCATCACATGGATCACAAAACACACTCCACCTCCGCAACCGTTCTTTTTTGTATATCAGGTTGACCTGGATCCCTGCTTGGTACTTTAAGGTTTTCAAGGCCTGGGCTGCGCGCATCTCTCTACATGAGTTCTAAGCTTCTCGGGCAGAGTGGTATGCGCGCCCCGCTGATGGCGCAAAGCGGCGTCAGCGGGCCTCGTGCGGTGGGCGATGGCACCCTCTGCACGATTCCCGGCCCGCCAGCGGAAGGTGGCGACAGTGGCGCCAAATCTTGCGCAGAGACGATCTACGAGTGCTGGGCGATTTCGTGCCCCATGTTGAGGGAAGCTCACAGAGCAACGGTCTGTGACCTTCCCCGGTGACGTTCGAGTGTGTTGGAATGTTCAATCCTGCTTGGGATGGTGAAACGAAGAACACAAGGCTTCGGAGCTCAACACACGTCACCGCTGTCTAGCTCACTATCCTGAGGATAGTGTTGTTCAAGGGCAGACATCACTTGAAGCATTGAGGTTCGAGAGGTTCGAACACTGAGCCCATTCAACTCTGGGTCAAATGAGACCCCGACGTGGGTCACTTGGTTTAGGGTAATTTAGCGTAATTTAGGTAAATTAGGGTAATTTAGGGTAATTTAGGGTAATTCAGGGTAATTTAGGGTAATTTAGGGTAATTTAGGGTAATTGCTCTTCCTGTGCTTTATTCATCTTGACCTGGATCCATGCTTGTAAATTCAGCATGTTGAGAAGACTTGGGCGGAGCGCAGAGTGGCGGGGATGACGCTCTGGGCGATGGTGCCCTCCATGTGTGACCCGGCCCACTAGCGGCGCATAAAATCTGCAGGCTGCGAGTCGCGCCCACAGAGCCAGGGTTTAGGGGTTCAGGGGTTTTAGGGTTTAGGGTTCAGGGTTTAGGGTTTAGGGTTAGGGTTCAGGGTTTAGGGGTTCAGGGTTCAGGGTTCAGGGTTCAGGGTTTAGGGTTTGGGGTTTAGGGTTTACGGTGTAGGGTTTAGCAACTGGATGTGATGTTAAACCCTGTTGCCGGAAATGCTCAAACAAACCTCCTGCACCATACACATCGGAAAAAGAACAACATGCAACCAGAACCCTAAACCCGCCTCAACCCCAAACCCGAGACCTCAAGCCCTAAAGGCCCAAAGCCCTACAGGCCCTAAACCCCTAAACCCTAAACCCCTAAACCCCTAAACCCCTAAACCCCTAAACCCCTAAACCCCTAAACCCCTAAACCCCTAAACCCCTAAACCCCGAAACCCCCAAACCCCCAACCCCCCCCCAAACCCCAAACCCCGAAACCCCGAAACCCCCCCCCTAAAACCCCTAAACCCCTAAACCCCTAAACCCCTAACCCCTAAACCCCTAAACCCCTAAACCCCTAACCCCTAAACCCCTAAACCCCTAACCCTACCCCTAAACCCCTAAACCCCTAAACCCCTAAACCCCTAAACCCCTAAACCCCTAAACCCCTAAACCCCTAAACCCCAAAACCCCTAAACCCCTAAACCCTAAACCCTTCAATCCGGAGCACTTTGATCAGGAAGATAAGCTGGTTTACGAGCACGCCATCATGCCTTCGGCCGACAACGATGGTGGCGAGGCCCCTGCACCCTAAACCCTAAACCCTAAACCCTAAACCCTAAACCCTAAACCCTAAACCCTAAACCCTAAACCCTAAACCCTAAACCCTAAACCCTAAACCCTAAACCCTAAACCCTAAACCCTAAACCCCAATAATAGACCCGACAATCCAAAACCCCAGAAGTCCAAGGCCCCTCGACTCGGTAGTTCACGACGATTTTTGTTGGGCAATCAGCATCAAGGGGCTTTAGGCTTCTTAGGGTTTAGGGTTTAGGGTTTAGGGTGTAGGGTGTAGGGTGTAGGGTTTGGGGTTTGGGGTTTGGGGTTTGGGGTTTGGGGTTTGGGGTTTGGGGTGTAGGCCCCACGCTAGTGAGCCATCCTGAAACGTTAAGGGTTTGGAAGGTTCAAGCGGTTAAGGTTTAGCATTTAAGGATGTTTGAGGTTTATAATGGCTCAAGGATGCTTGAGGTTTAAAGAAGTTTTTGGAGGTTTGGGATTTAAGGTTTAGGGGTGAAGTAAGTATGCTTAATGGGCTCAAGATTCTTTAGAGTCCAGGGTTTGGGTTTGGGATGTTCCCCGTATACTTGCAGCCCTTGTTATGGATTACACCCCGTACTAGATCCCCTATTAAGGACTGTCAGCATAAGGGGGAACCCAAGTTGAGGGCGTATGGCTTTTGGATTTGGTTTGGGTTAGGGCTTTATGGGCTTTAAGGGCTCGCAGGGGTTTAGGGTTTAGGGTTTAGGGCCGGTGTTTGGGGTTTTAGAGGTTTGCGGGTTTGGGGGTATTGAGAAAACGGAGTTCACTCAACAGCCCAAAGTCGCCACAGCCTTCGCACTGACCAGAAATCTTCGCGCGAGGCCATGTTCTGAGGTAAACCTTCCATCCTAGGCCCCCAACTTGTTCTTCCCCTAAACCCTGAACCCCTAAACTTAAACCTGAAACCCTCAACCCTAAACCTGAAAACCTACACCCTAAAGTAAGCTGAAACCCTAAGCCCTCAGCCCTTCGCCCTCAGCCCTAAGCCCTCAGCCCTAAGCCCGCAGCCCTACCCGTGAATCCTAAAGCCTAAACTGACACCCTGCACACCCTGCCCATGCCATACCAGGAGGTTCATGGTACTTAGTAACCCACTTAGAACTGTACTTGCAACCTCTTAGGGTACTTAGGGGGGCTTATCAGTGGGTTCTAATTGCAACATTGTTCTCGAAAGCCCCGTGGGGCTGAGAGTGACTTGGCTAAAAATAAGTGGGTTCTAATTACATACATAATTACATACATAATTACATACATAATTACAAGTACCCTAAACCCTAAACCCCAAACCCTAAACCCTAAACCTAAACCCCAAAGCCTAGACCCTAAACCTTAAACCCTAAACCTTATGGATTTAGAATTGGGTTACTAAGTACCCTTCCAAGTACCAGGAGGGCGCGGAGACCGAGCCAAAGCGTGTGGCTGTGCCGAGTTGTCGTCATCCGGGTCACCGCTTGTCGGGGTCTTCAGGGGCCCTGCTGAGATTTAGGGTTTACGGCTTAGGGTTTAGGATTTAGAGCTGCTTCCGGGCTTACCCCAAAACCCGAAGATTGGACAACTCTCTGAACCGGTTCTTGTTGTGGGGCCCAGGGCGTGGATGTTCGGGCGTTGGGCTCGTCAGCGGTACCCTAAACTCTGAACCGCGGATGAGGGTTTAATCTCGTGCTTTTGGCAGGTACGTGCTTTTGGTTGATTGTTGTTTGCTGCCTAGAAGCCCTCATATACCCCAAGCCCGCAGAAACCCTCCTTTTGTTTATTCCTAAACCCCGAACCCTAAGCCCGAAATCGACCTTTGCGGAGTTTGAGCTATATGGGTTGTATGTGGCTGTCAGAGTTTTTTGGAACGATGGGAAAGTCCAGGAGCTCGAGGGCTGTTTTGGGGGGGGGGGTTCTAGTGCTGCAGCCCTCTAGGGCTTTAGAGAATTGGGGCGCCCTAAACCCTGAACCCCGAACCCTAAACCCTAAACGCTAAGCCCTCAGCCCTAAGCCCTAAACCCGACCCCCTAGTTCAGAGCTTTAGTGATTGGGGGTGTTTGGGTGGGCTTTGGGCACAGCATCTCCCTGCAGCCACAGCAGACAGTGTGTGGACCAAGTAGCAGACGAGACGCAGTCGTGGCCTTGAAGCTTGGCAAGATTTCTTGTTCCAGGCTTTGTGGGTTCAGGGTTCAGGGTTCAGGGTTCAGGGTTCAGGGTTCAGGGTTTAGGGTTTAGGGTTTAGGGTTTAGGGTTTAGGGTTTACCCTGGGTTGCTATGTTGAGCCCTTAGGTCTTTGGGCGTTTAGGGAGAAGTCCTAGGCTTAGTGATTCGGGCCTGGGGGCAAGTTCCTGTCGTTTTTTTGGGTTCAGGATGTTTGGGCAAGCTGTCCAAGCCTGGTGCAAGCCAACCCGTGCCCCCAAGCCCTAAACCCTAAACCCCAAACCCCAAACCCCAAACCCCAAACCCTAAACCCCAAAGCCTAAACCCCCTGGTCCAAGCCCAGGAGCTCTGAGCAATGGCGGCACCCCTCAACTCCGTCGAGCTGCACCAGCGCCTGATGGAACTCCACAGCCCAGCACCTCCGGCTCCAAAAGCCCTAAGCCCGAAATCCCTAAACCCTAAACCCTAAACCCTAAACCCTAAACCCTAAACCCTAAACCCTAAACCCTAGACCCTAGACCCTAGACCCTAGAACACTCCTAGAACCCTAAACACTCAGAAAGCCGAAGCGCGGGTTCAGGGGTCTGAGAGTGCAGGAGTATCCCAGCCTGGGCTACTTGCAGGTTCATGGGTACTTATAACCCCACTTAGAAGTCTACTCATAACCCTAAACCCTAAACCCTAAACCCTCAACCCTAAACCCTAAACCCTAAACCCTAAACCCTAAACCCTAAACCCTAAACCCGCAACGGGGATGTAGGGGGTTTAGAATTACAGTTATAAGTTTGGTTATAAGTGCCCATGAACCTCGAAGTACTAACTAGTACCCGCGTGAGGTT